CCGGTCCCTGTGTGCCGTGTCATCCTGAATTTTGTCTTTCCTAATTTTCTACATTACAAAATCATCATTTTATCTAGTGAACATTTTTTCCCGGTCCCTTGAAAAATACTCGATAAGTTGAATAAAATCAATTTTAATTGGTTCCCTCGGTAATTGGAAGTTAAAGGAATATTATCTTCGCCTTGGAATTGCATCAATATTCTTGTCTCAAATAAATTGCCGTGTCATCCTGAGATAATCTTACTTTTGATAAATAATCTTTAAGATAATAAACTTAGTGATAATAAAACTTATAGATAAAAAACGTGTTATCATCGTCGCAATCGTGGCGCTGCTTGCGAGTTAAATCTACAAATCTGCAAATAACTCTAGGGATATTAAAGATATTCAAGAAAAGGTTTTTCAAAAACCTTCCCGGTGATATACCTAATAATATCCCAAAATTTCACGGCGATTGGATGTATGGTTTTTGAATCTATAGAATACACACAGACAGACATTCAATTTTATATATATACTAGCGGATGTACCCGCTTCGCCCGAGGTTTTACCCGAGTAAAGGTTTGTCTAACGAACATTTGTTAAAACAATTCTCGATAAACATATGAAAAAATAGATGTAATATCCCGGGACTTTTGAGGTGATTGTTTTATTGATTGGTTGTTTGTTGAGTGATTGATGGTTGTCGTAAGCAGTAAGTCCCTGTTGACTTACTTGGTGGTTGATGTGGGCGCAGTCATTTTGGCTGAAATGGTAAAGTTTTCTCACAGGGGAAAATAACGAGACAGGACACAGGATTAGATTGAGAAAAATTAATAATATCCCAAAATTTCACGGCGATTGGATGTATGGTTTTTGAATCTATAGAATACACACAGACAGACATTCAATTTTATATATATACTAGCGGATGTGCCCGGCTTCGCCCGGGTTTTACCCGAGTAAAGGTTTGTATAACGAACATTTGTTAAAACAATTCTCTATAAACATATAAAAAAAGAAAGATATATTTTGATGATTTGAAACTCGTAAATTTGAATCTCTCGATAAAGTGATCATTCTTTCCCGGTCCCTTGTGCCGTGTCATCCTGAATTTTGTATTTCCTAATTTTCTATATTACAAAATAATCGTTTTATCTAGTGAACATATTTTCCCGGTCCCTTGAAAAATACTCGATAAGTTGAATAAAATCATGGTCGTGAATCTCTCGATAAGGTGATCATTTTTTCCCGGTCCCTGTGTGCCGTGTCATCCCGAATTTTGTATTTCCTCGATAAAGTGAACATTTTTTACCGTTCCCTGTGAGCCGTGTCATCCTGAATTTTGTCTTTCCTAATTCTATACATTACAAAATCATCGACACGGGATATCATTTAATGTTGTCTAAAGGGGGTTAAGAGAGCAGTCTCTTTCAAATGAAAAATGCTTTAATTAAGCAGATGTTTAAAGTATAATATATGAGAGAGGCAATCTTACAGGTTGTCGACGCTGTAAAATCCCCAGAGAGAGTGTTTTTGTAGCATCATGCTGTGACTCACACGATGACCCAAGGTCATCAGGAGCAGCAAACTAAGCCTATCTCCGTCTCAATGGTAGGGCTGCTTGCGAGTTAAATATACAAATCTGCAAATAACTCTAAGGATATTCAAGATATTCAAGAAATTTTTTTTCGTAAACCTTTCCGGGGATACACCTCATAATATCCCAAAATTTCACGGCGATTGGATGTATGGTTTTTGAATCCATAGAGGACACACACACACAGACAGACAGACAGACATTCATTTATATATATATAGATGAGAAAACAATTCTCTATAAACTTATAAAAAAATAATAGATATATTTTAATAATTTGAAACTCGTAAATTTGAATATCTCGATAAAGTGAACATTTTTACCCGGTCCCTGTGTGCCGTGTCATCCTGAATTTTGTCTTTCCTAATTTTCTACATTACAAAATCATCATTTTATCTAGTGAACATTTTTTCCCGGTCCCTTGAAAAATACTCGATAAGTTGAATAAAATCAATTTTAATTGGTTCCCTCGGTAATTGGAAGTTAAAGGAATATTATCTTCGCCTTGGAATTGTATCAATATTCTTGTCTCAAATAAATTGCCGTGTCATCCTGAGATAATCTTACTTTTGATAAATAATCTTTAAGATAATAAACTTAGTGATAATAAAACTTATAGATAAAAAACGTGTTATCATCGTCGCAATCGTGGCGCTGCTTGCGAGTTAAATCTACAAATCTGCAAATAACTCTAGGGATATTAAAGATATTCAAGAAAAGGTTTTTCAAAAACCTTCCCGGTGATATACCTAATAATATCCCAAAATTTCACGGCGATTGGATGTATGGTTTTTGAATCTATAGAGTACACACAGACAGACATTCAATTTTATATATATACTAGCGGATGTACCCGGCTTCGCCCGAGGTTTTACCCGAGTAAAGGTTTGTCTAACGAACATTTGTTAAAACAATTCTCGATAAACATATGAAAAAATAGATGTAATATCCTGGGACTTTTGAGGTGATTGTTTTATTGATTGGTTGTTTGTTGAGTGATTGATGGTTGTCGTAAGCAGTAAGTCCCTGTTGACTTACTTGGTGGTTGATGTGGGCGCAGTCATTTTGGCTGAAATGGTAAAGTTTTCTCACAGGGGAAAATAACGAGACAGGACACAGGATTAGATTGAGAAAATAGGCCAGCGATCAAGGGAGAAAGGGGTTTAGACTATTGGCGTTTTTGATTAATTGGCTAGGCTGTTCACATATTGAACATTGGACTTATCTGGGTGATGAGCAAGATGGTGGCGAGCTCCTAACTTGTTCCTTGGCCGGCCCAGGTGCTAACTTGTCGCGATGGTGTCGAACTCCTAACTTGTTGCGATGGTGCCGAGGTCCTAACTGATTAACTTGAGTCCGAGATTTAACTCGTTAACTCTTCAGTGCCCTCATTGGAGGATTCTCCTCTCGTGGCGGTCTCTCATTGGCTCTTAGCTAGTCCTGCTGGACTCTGATTGGATCTTAGCTATTCCTTTGTCTTTGTCTTGTTTTAACATGCTCCCGGAAGAAGAGGTTCTTGAACTCAGTTTTATGAGTTCCTGGGTAATAACTTTTGCTTCCTGGATAATGAAAACCTGCTAATGATTGTTTCTTCTCTGATGGCCTTTCTCCCAGATTCGCTAAGCCTAGCTTTTATTAAAATCTTTAGATCATACATTGCATACATATTGTGGTGGGGTTACATCCAGTTATATACAAATTATGACATAGATATATTTTGATAATTTGAAACTCGTAAATTTGAATCTCTCGATAAAGTGAACATTTTTTCCCGGTCCCTGTGTGCCGTGTCATCCTGAATTTTGTCTTTCATAATTTTCTACATTACAAAATCATCGTTTTATCTAGTGAACATATTTTCCCGGTCCCTTGAAAAATACTCGATAAGTTGAATAAAATCATGGTCGTGAATCTCTCGATAAAGTGATTATTTTTTCCTGGTCCCTGTGTGCCGTGTCATCCTGAATTTTGTCTTTCCTAATTTTCTACATTACAAAATCATCGTTTTATCTAGTGAACATATTTTCCCGGTCCCTTGAAAAATACTCGATAAGTTGAATAAAATCATGGTCGTTTATGGAAGATGGACATAGTTCCTGGAGGTCACCCGCCCCCCGCGCGCCAGGACCTCTTGATCCCTCTGATTGGCCGGCGGCCGGACAGGGGTGGGTGGGGGGGCAGACCTAAGCCTATCTCTGTCGCAAGGTGGCGCTGCTTGCGAGTTAAAGCTACAAATCTGCAAATAACTCTAAGGATATTAAAGATATTCAAGAAATTATTTTTCGTAAACCTTTCCGGGGATATGCCTAATAATATCCCAAATTTTCACGGCGATTGGATGTATGGTTTTTGAATCCATAGAGGACACACACACACAGACATTCAATTTTATATATATAGACTAGCGGATGTACCCGGCTTCGCCCGGGTTTTACCCGAGTAAAGGTTTGTCTAGCGAACATTTGTTAAAACAATTCTCTAAAAACTTATAAAAAATATATATATTTTGATAATTTGAAACTCGTAAATTTGAATCTCTCGATAAAGTGAACATTTTTTCCCGGTCCCTGTGTGCCGTGTCATCCTGAATTTTGTCTTTCCTAATTTTCTACATTAGAAAATCATAGTTTTATCTAGTGAACATTTTTTCCCGGTCCCTTGACAATATTAATTGGTTCATATTAATATTAATCAATATTAATTGGTTCCCTCGGTAATTGGAAGTTAAAGGAATAGTATCTTCGCCTTGGAATTGTATCATTATTCTTGTCTCAAATAAATTGCCATGTCATCCTGAGATAATCTTACTTTTGATAAATAATATTTAAGATAACAAACTTAGTGATAAGAAAACTTGTTATCATCGTCACAATGGGGGCGCTGCTTGCGAGTTAAATCTACAAATCTGCAAATAACGCTAAGGATATTCAAGATATTCATGAAATTATTTTTCAAAAACCTTCCCGGTGATATACCTAATAATATCCCAAAATTTCACGGCGATTGGATGTATGGTTTTTGAATTTATAGAGTGCAGACAGACAGACAGACATTCAATTTTATATATATAGATAATTCAAATTGTGCCTTATCATGGATGTGGTCTTATTACCTTGTGTGTTTATAATCTATAATCCAAACTGTACCTTATCATGGATGTTGTCTTATTACCTTGTGTTTATAATCTATAATCCAAATTGTACCTTATCATGGATGTGGTCTTATTACCTTGTGTTTATAATCTATAATCCAAACTGTACCTTATCATGGATGTGGTCTTATTAGCTTGTGTTTATAATCTACAACGCCCGGGGTTCCGATTAAATGCTTTTATTCAAATACTATTCGTTACAATTATAAATTGGCGCCGTGGATGTCATTCTTGTATAATATATAAATGAGTTTTAAAAATTGTAAAAGAAAATGCATCGCCGGGAATCGAACCCGGGCGCCCGCGTGGCAGGCGAGCATTCTACCACTGAACCAATTGTTGCACCAGGGTGCGGCTTGGCAGACTCTTCAGCCTTGATTCTCTCCTGTGCTGGGTCTTGCATCTTACCAGAGCGTGTTTCAACCATCCTACAAATTTATAAAAGGGAATAATGAGATAAGTCTACTTTATGTAGCCACCAGAATCCTTTATTTATTTTCTCACATCAAAGAGAGCAGTGAAGTCACAGTGTACCTAAATACAAATGATGATAAATTAATAATCTGTTTTAAATAAATATCATAGAATATTTTATATAAAAATAAATAAATATATAATTTAAATTTCAAATATATTAAAACTAATATAAGAAATACGCCATTAATCATGATGTAACACTTCCCCCTCTCCAGAGGTCGTCACGTCCTCGTGATTGACCTCATCAATTCTTTCAAAATAGGGTTTGATTCTTGAGACATGGACAATCAATGGGTCTTGGTCAGGATTATCTTTTGGTTCAATTAAGTAATTTACGTTGGACAGCTTCTTTAATATTCTATATGGGCCAAAATATTTTCTCAGTAGTTTCTCACACTTTCCTATTTTCCTAATTGGTGTCCAAACTGCTACTAATTCTCCTGGTTCGTAGCTTCTTTCCATGTGTTTCTTGTCATAGTTCTTTTTCATTCTTTCTTGAGTCTTTATTGTGTTGTTAATAACTAATTTTCTTGTTCTGTTTATTTTGTCTAAGTGATGTTTTATGTATTCATCATAATCATCCTTGTCAATGTCCACCGAGATATTCCTGTCGTCCAAAAGAGACGTGGGTTCTCTTCCAAACATCAGGAAAAAGGGAGAATATCCTGTGGTTTCCTGAATTGTAGTATTGTAAGCGTGAGTGATGAATGGGAGTATTTCGTCCCACTAACTGTTGTTTTTCTAATTATGGACAATAATCATAAGTTACAATAGCATGCAACATCCAATGTAGAATTAAGAATCTTTGTAGCTTCTGGTAGATCATATTCCAGGGGCTCCAATGATGCATACAGTCTGGGATCTTCTTCCTTAAAGGTTGGAAGACCAGGTCATCTTGAGCCTACAATTTCTTTTGAAATCTGAGCACTCAACTCAATATGGGTGCAAAATTTTTGTAAAGTAACATATTATTTTCTACTCTACAGTTTCCTGGTTCACTGCAGCAATCCGCCCTCCCCATAACTATACATTTTTTTCTAGACTGCTGTACAGTCTGGGTAGTTGGCGATTTACGCTCCAGGAACCCAGGTTACCTCTATTTTCTCTCGCTCTCTCTATTTAATTTTTTTTAAATATTCGCTTATTATAAACTATAAATGTTGATTTTTTCACGTAAAATATCATTATAAAACTTTTAAATGTGCTTATTAAGAATGTCAAACCTTTGATATACGAGCGAGAATAAAATATGTCACTATTAAAATCAAAAATGAGCCTATTAATATAAAAAGTGTTTATATATATATATATATATCAAATCTAATTGATATAAGTTATCATTATTATCAGTTTGCTCCTTAAGTTTTAAAATTAGAATCACTGTTATAATTTTGTTATATAGTTTCTACACTATATATATATATATATATATATAAAATAGCCTCAACAAATTTATTAAAGTGTAAAATGTTTTCTTAAAATTCAAAAACCTATATAAATATAATTATAATTTGTGAAATAAAATTTTCAAACGGTTATAATTATAATTATAACCACAAATAAACGTCAATAATTATCATTTAAATTTATTTTTATAAACCAATATTTTGTTTCTTAAATCCCGCTGCGCTCCAAGAACTTGGTATATAAATATCTCTCTTTCTTAGCAGCCCCGTAAATAAAGATATTTCCGTTCCTTTCTCCTAAAAGCCCTCAACTCTTTATTAATTTTATTTTTCAAAACTCTGGTTGACAGGGCTTTCAACCCTTACCTCAAAATGTACAGGACAGTAATAAACAGTTTTGCTGCTCTAAAAATTGTACCTACAATATGTTCGCAGCTTGCGAAGCTAAGTATCGTTTCGCAGAACCTACCAAAGCGACCACTGAACCCTTATCGTAGGTATGTTAAAGAAAATTGGGCAACAATTAAACAAAGTAATGATAATATCACCAACATGGAAGTGATTCCTATAGCTGCTTCTAATTGGAACAATTTGGACAAAGCCTTAAAACTAAAATACTATGAAGAATACATCAAAGAAAAGAATATCTATGAAATGCAATATAAAGCCTATTTAGATTCTCTAACTGAAGAAGAATTAAAACAATTGGACAAGGATCGGAAAAATAAAATTAGGAAATCATTTAATAAAAAATTAAACAAGTATGGGAAACCAAAAAGGCCTATGAATGCATTTTTTATTTATAAGAATGATAAGAAAGATACAATTGATGGAAAATATGCAGAAAAATTGAAAAAACTTTCACTATCTTGGCATTCTTTACCTGAAGCAGATAAAAAAATATATTTCACAGAAGCAATGAAACAAAAGGAAAGATATTTAATAGATTATGAAGAGTGGAAAAATAAAATGAAAAAAGAGGGGATAACTATTGGAAAGAGAAAAAGAAAAATGTAAGTTGTTGTTTTTGTTTCTATATCAAATCAATAATAGTATATTTATTCTAATGTGTAATTTGTATGACATTTTTCAACAAGTTAAATATCATATTTTCTATATATATATATATATTATAAAATTTATTATTCCTGTATTTATATAATTAAAGAGACAGTTACCACTCTAGGTACATACGTATATATATATATGAAAAAATAAAAATAAAAAATAAGTGGGTCAGGTGTTGATATTAAAAATAAAGAAAGCATATCCTGACCAGGAGCACATGTGCTTTACAGAAGGCAGAACACCATCTAGTGGAACAAAAAACAACTAAACAATGATTTAACTTGTTCTGTGATATTTGGCCAACCCACTTTCTTGATAAATCAAGAAAAGTCAACCACATACACGTTTTGATCTGTTGGCCCTCGTCAGCGAGGTGCAGGTCGTAGAGGTACAGCCAGGCTGACGAGGACCAACAGCGTGAAACATTCGTGGTTGGCCTTTCTTGATTTAGCAAGAAATTGGGTTGGCCAAATATCATGGAACAAGTTGAATCAATGTTTAGTTATTTTTTGTTCCACTAGATGGTGCTGCGCCATCAAAAAGTTTATGAGAACAGGGTCAGGATATGCCTTTTTTGATTTTAATATATATACAGTAAAACCCCGGATATTGCGAACCTTCCCTTTTAACGAACCTAAGGCAATTCCATTCCATTGAAAATACCATCGTTATAACGAACTTTGCAATTTTTTAAATAACGAACAACCCCTATAATGAACCAATTTTAGGTCCCAAAATAATAAAATCCATTTAAAATACTACACTTATAATGAACTTAAAATGGAAATTTCAAAAATTTTAAAACAACAAAATTTTGTGCATGTTTCAGCTTGCGGATCCCGATTTAAAAAAAAAAATAATTTAACGGCATTGTTTGTTTTTATTTACATCTACATTTGCTGTATTTTGTATAATTTTTACATATTATAGTTTTTATTAAATAGAATATCTTTGCAACCATCAAATTTGAAATAGAAAAAATGCAAATGACTTCCAAAATAAAGAAAACAAAAACATTCTAAAAAATTAGCCTGTTTTCAAAACTTTTAGAGTGAAACAACACAGGCAAAAATTTCAGAACATGTTAAAATAAAATGTAACTTTTCTATCATAAGAGATAGAATGGAAGGCTATTAAAAATTGTTATATACAAAGAGAAATCATCCTCAATTTTTTCCGCGATTGTACGTGTTAGGCTAAAAAAAAATGTCAAAATAAACGGGCCCCGTAATACAGTAAAAAATTTTTTTTATGCCATGAACTATCGTGATTTTAAAGCCAGCAATGGCTTGCATGACAGGTTCAAAATAAAACAAAATTAGACTTAAGAAGAATATGTGGAAACATGAAATAAAGAAAAACACTTAACTTTATTTGAAAGGTACAATGCTTTAAGAGTGCTTTGAAACAACAAGGTATTAGAGTCATTTTTCACAAGTAAACATTGTATTATATAATTTGATAAAGATGTTTTAAAATAATTTATATCTTTGAATTTATAATTGATTAAACTTTGCCATAGTATGCTAAAATGATAAGAAGAACCTATCATCAAATAATTTATTTTATTATTCAGTATTAATGTAAGGAAATTGGTTAATTAAGGGAATTAAAACAAAGTGACCACTATAAAGAGGCAGCCTCTTGCTGTGTGTATGGCTGTCCTTTAATTATACGCTCTAAAAATTTTGAAAAGTAAAAAAATATCCAAACCGTGGTTTTAGTGAACCAAAAGCTCTGTCCCATTGGGGTTCACTATAGAGGGATTTTACTGTATATATTTTGAAAATAGAGCCATCCTTAAATATATCTTTAATTAAAAAGGCATATATTGGATCAAAATATAATTTATTTTACAAATATTTCAGTTGGCTGAAGGCCAACCTTTTTCAAAGTGTTATAACATATTAATGTGTGTCAACAACAAACTCAGCGCCACATAACATCAATAGAATTAGGTTGAAAAATATTTTTTTTGCCTATATTCATTGGGGAGAAAACAATTTTGTTATATATATATCATATGATATATATTATGAACAAAAGAAATTTTGTAAAATAAGGGTGTGAATATTAACAATAACGCCTATTTTATATTTACAATTATTTGTATTATATGTAAAAAGAATTTTTTTATTAAAAAAAATAAAATGAAAATAACATTATATATAAAAGAAATGATTAACTAAATTTTTTATCAAAAACACAAAGAGCAAAATTATTTTAAAATTTTATTATTAATGTTTTAATTTAACCAACTTTGCAACCCCTCTATATAGTGAATCCCAATGGGACAGAGCTTTTAGTTCACTATAGCCACAATTTGGCTATTTTTTTTACTTTTCAAAATGTTTGACCGTATAATTAAAGGACAGCCATACACACAGCAAGAGGC